TTTTTTTCTTATTGACAAAGCAACAGTATGCGTAGAACTATTTTGTTTTAAATACGTTCTACTTTCTTGTATGTTCTTTCTGATCGGGCCTGAATTAGTGGTAACAGAACCTAACTTGCTATATTGACTATTGCTTTACTTAATTTCATTCCATGATCTATTTCTAGCAAAGAAAAACACATAAAGACTTTGTCCAACACTATTTTGCTGAATTCAGCTCAGGCCAAACGAACTGGTAGTAATATATGAGCAATAAAAACTTAAATTCATTGATAAATTTGTCCCCTCTGTTTTTCTGGAAGTTAGATAAGGGATGTTTTTGGTAAAAACTCCATACGTTTTTATGTAGTTAAATTGATCAACAAGAGCAAATTGTGTTATTACCAGTTGACAAATTGATAAACTGGTTGAAGATTGCATTTCAAGTGAGATTTATGAATTCATATAAGTATATACCAATTTATTAAGTCTATAAAATGATACAATGATAAGAAACCCAATAACATATGGAAAGTCACATGATAATTTGACAAAAAGCTATCATTTTACTATAAACAAGGCATAACATATATGTTCCATTGATTTCAACATAATGAAAAAATTGAAACTTCAGGTAAAGCCTTAATACTTTCATATTAAATCACCAGATAATGCTGAAATACCTATTTTATCAGTTTATGGGCTGTAATTTTACACCAACATAAGTTTTTCAAAAGAAATAGATGTAACATGATTACTAACAACAAATGTTATCAACTTTGATTGTAATGGGTATAACTTCTAAAATTTAAATTTGCCAAGCTTATCAGTCATAAGAATAAAACCACTGAATTATAGCCCCATTGATTTCTTTGTGAAAGTTGGCAATTTTATATTTTCAAAAATATGGTTCAAAAATCATTAATTAGTGTTTCTATTGTTTCTATTGTTTCGATTTTAAAGAAATGTCTTTAAGCTTTTCTTTTTAAAAATTTTGTATAGCTCTAAATTATGGCAACTGTAGTTTACCGAATTTCACAGATGTTCTACGGAATGAAATAAATATAAGGTGAATTCTGACTTTGATTTGATGTTGAAAATCTTTCAAAATAAAAATGAGGTTTCAATTATCTATTCCCCAGTTGTTAAGACGATCACAAATGTAACAAAGCCACTTGACCATTTTGGTGGAATTTCGTCTTCTACAAATTAAAGCGTTTCACCATTTATGTTTCGCATTTTTTGTTAACTGAAAGTTCGGGCATTAAAAGCTTTAAATGATTCCTGATGTATTTATGTACTTGGATACTAATTTTTTGCCGCACATAGATTTTTTATCAAAAGCATAATAACAACTTTTTAATAACATTAACGATACCAGCGTCATCTTTGTATCAAGAAGTTATATACGATCGCATGTTTTGCATGCCCGAACAAAATTTACGTAGAGTAGTACATTTTAAACCATAGACCAACTTTTTTAAAATCATGTCTTTTTTAAATCGAAACACCTTTGCAAACTTTCCATACCATTGTTGATTCCATTGGAACGGTTGGTCTAACTCATAGCACGTAACTAATAAGATTGGTGAATTAAGATCATCACATCAGTCAATGGCGAATAGTTGCTAAAGCGGACAGTAAAAACTTGCCTATCTCCAAAGAAAAAATGTTCACATTTTTCGCAAGATAATAAATATGCAGTTAAAAATGGTAGTTAATTATATTGCTTATATCTTTTAAACTCACCACGTGAGTTTAGGGAATCTGTATGGAAAAATAGGATAACAAATTGATAGATACCGGTTCTTGATTCCTTAACATGTTGGTCCAGAGTATCATTCCATATAATTTTGCAGTTATTCCCAATCACTTCAAGCTTTGAACAAGAGATTTATTAATTGGAACAGTTTTAATAGATTTTTACTCAAGATCAACCAGAAATTGCCCTGACATGAATATTAAGTAATGTTTAATATGCAATCCAAACAGCAGGATGTGCCACCACAATATTTCTTAGTGCCAAAAAATATAGATTACTTTACCACCACGTTTACCTTAAGTTTCAAGGAATTGTACTTAGTACCAACAGATTACGAAGTCATGAACTGGTATCTATATGTTTGGACATCGTTGCCTTAGTCTACCAATGAATTTAAAGTTAAACATGTTATACACATACTTTAGAAAATGTTAGATAGTTGTGTTGAGAATGATTCTATTCTATTTGATAAATATGCTTGCCATTCCTAAGTGCATGACACTAGACACTTAGTAAATTGTTCCAACATGAACATGATGAAATATACAAATATAATGAACCTATTGATATAATTTGATAGCTTTATAATAAATTTTGTGAGATGAGTTATATTATTAATACTAACATAGTGAAATAAGTTATATCTTACTAAACAGTGCTTCCCTTAAAAGATAAGCTAAACTGAAGAATACAAAGTTCAAAGCTATTAAATTAGTAACATGCTACAGAAAATGTGCAATATAGAAATTGTAACAATAAAAAAAATAAAGAATACTATCTTTATAAATACAAAGGGCGTAATGACACAAATGTACACTACAATGTTTTTTTGCAGAACTGTTGTAAAATACCAATTAAGACGTTCAGATTGAAAATTTAAGGTTTACTATCTATCAGAAACAATGTTAAAAGGAACATGTTGACGAAATTAACATAAATGTAAATAAGTTAGTAAAAACTATTTCTTTATCTCTTATGAAACAGAATTGAAACAAAATTGTTCTCATAGAGAAGAAAATAAATTAAAAAATATTTTAATTTCTCTTTCAGACAAATTGACGTGCTCCTTTATTTGTTAGTGAGTGCTTACATTTCACATTTATCAAGAATGTGTGAGTTATTGATGGGGTTTGTGTTGTTTATTTATTAGTTATCTTTGTAATGTTTTGTGAACTGGTTTGTCTTTTCGTCGTCTTTCTTTCTTTTTTTTTTTATTGCAATGGTTTTTTTCATTTTCTTTCATCTGATGAGTTTTTTTTATATCGCCGTGGTTTCCCCCAAATTATTATTTTTCATATCTAGATTGTTGTCTTCAATTGATGCTTGTTGAAATGATGTGCAGCAACAACAGTTTATCAATGTCAAATCACATTATCCGATTAATAAATTACAACTCAAGGTAACACACAAAATCTGATATAAATATTAAGCTTTGATTTTATCAAAATCCAATTTACATTATTTTTGATGGCTGGATAAAGTTCGAATCAAACTTCAACATGGAAAAGAAATTTAAAAGGATTTTTTTCGACGTATACCTGTTTATGATATTGTCTCGCCAAACAAAAAATGAAAATCCCTAAAATGTTATTTAAGATCCAAATCTTTATGTGAGTTAATTTGCAGGAATGAAATGTAGATAGATGTACAATCCCTTTTTAGGTTTGATTGATAAAAAATTTAGAACAAAGCAAAGTTATGTCAAATAATATGATATTTTAAATGGTATGATGGTCACACTGACTAAATGGTTCAATGCTCTTCAGCTTTGTTTTTTATCTGGTCTTCCAGCTGTTTAAATTTCGATCACCACAGATGAGTTATATGTAGATGAAACGAGCGTCTAGCGTACTAAATTATAACCTGGTATCTTTGATGAGATTGAACATCTACTAAACTACTATGAAGATTACTTCAAAAATTAAATGCATTATTGAAATTATGACTTCGAACTTAATGTGAACAAAATCAGAATTGAGAAAGTTATGAATGAGGAGATGTGGATGCATGTCTAAGAGATAGCAATCCATCGACAAAAATTAAAAAAAAGACATCTTTAGGGTAAGATATAGTCTTTAAACCCGCTGCAATTGTTTGCACCTGTCCTAAGTCAGGAATCTGATGTTCAGTAGTTGTCGTTTGTTGATGTGGTTCATAAGTTTTCTTGTTTCTCGTTTTTATATAGATAAGACCGTTGGTTTTCCTGTTTGAATGGTTTTACACTAGTATTTTTTTAAGCCCTTTATAGCTTGCTGTGTGGTGTGAGCCAAGGCTCCGTGTTGAAGACTGTACTTTGACCTATAATGGTTTACTTTTATAAATTGTGACTTGGTTGGAGAGTTGTTTCATTGGCACTCATACCACAACGTCTTATATCTCTTAGACTACAGACAGGTGCCCACACTTTATTTTAAGCTCTTAGTCGTCTTGAAAGGATAAAGAGAGTTGGTTAAAGTTAGAAAAGTATTTTGTTCTTATTGCAAACAATATCTGAAGCGCGGGAGAACCCGTGACAACTACATATTCATCGTGTCGCTGAATTTTACCACACCTGGGTCGAAACCACTGCTGGAAGACGTTTTGTCCCATCTGACCAGTAATCATCTTACCTTTGTTGAGATAAAAGATTACTGTATGAAAGTTTACATTTCACAAAAAAATGTTACCCAAAGACAAAGTTGACAGTAGCCAGATTTGACGCAATTTTTTGAGGAATTCTTGGTTTTCATTCTCTTTAAATTCGTAATTAATTTTGCATTGAGCCCTGTTTTGCTTCGAACAAGACTAGTGAATCATGTGCAGATAGATTGCGAGTCTGACGTTTTAGATTGAAATTCTTATAACTAAGATAAGTTTTCCAACGTCAACTTAAATAATTATCATGCAGTAGTTTTCCAAACAATTCAACGAAAAATAATACCGTCTATAAGGAAATAAACGACTTCAGTTCATATAATTTTTTCTAAACTGTACAAGTCTCTGGCTTCTACCAAATATATAATGCGTTTCTTTGAGAATATTACCAATAGGTGAAAGAAATATTTCATAATACCTACATGTATTATGATGTAATGGAAAATATATATGATGTACGAGGAAACAAAATTTGTTATTGATCCTTGGTACATTTCTTTATGTAATCTGCAATTTATTAGTACAACGAGAACGTGACATTTAAAGTTTAAACTAAATTTAACGAATTCATCATTTGCGGTTCACTTACAAATTTCCTTGTGCACATGTCTATGATAAACCAAATAATTGAAGTCAGTATAAAAGGACGATTCGGAAGCAGTAAAACACTATTCATTAGAAATAATTCCAATTGCTAGAAACAAAGGTAAGAAATTATCGAAGCTTAATCATAGCTATTATTATAAATAAATATGATAAATATACAAAACATAAATAATTCAATAGTAACAAAGACAAGAAATAAGTCATTTTAAGTGCCAATCTGCCTAAGAATCGGGCAGTGGTGAAAACATGACAAACAAAAACCCACTCAAGTTGACATTAATTCATGTTCAAAATGTATAATGGTGCACAAATATAACATTCTTTTCCTTTTCCAATTTTGATAATTCAAGATATAAATTGATTGAAATGCACTAGAAATTAACAATTAAGTGGAGCTAAGTCCGTATTTTACTATCATTCTAACCAAAAGTTATTTAGAAATTTCTTGACTTACCAGACACGCAGAAATTAAAGATCTACCATTTCTAACTCAGGATGAGGGTAACTTCAAAATAGAATGGTTAAGTCGGTGGGTTTTTTTCTGCCATGTTTTTATTTTTTTCAAAATTGGATGATTCTTACAAAGAATGACACAAAAAGATTTAAGATAAATGATTTATAAAGGCTAAAGCGTTGTGCATAGTTCAAAATTTTTGTATTGATCTAAGTAATTTAGTGTACGATACAGTAACAAAGTACTGCATCAAAGTATTATTTATTAGCACAACTGATTTTCGCTGCTGTGTTTTTAAGTCTATCGGAATAAATATACAAAGTTATGTTCCTTTCTGAAGTTTAAATACTGTAAAAAGTAAATGTCTATTTCATACTAAACTTGACAATCAATGAATGTTATGCAAGTTCGAGATTTATATTTTGCTTCAATCCCCTTTTCTTTATTTGTTAATTTGCGGATCGATATCTAACATATCTTTCTATATTGTAATTTCAACCTAATCTCTCTGAAATATCAAATAGTGTTAAAAATTGAAGCTTGAAAAATCAAATAGTGTTAAGATTAAAGCTTGATTTTTACGATTTATTGCTCTGCTTCCTTCCCCAAGATTTGGCTATACTTTAGTTTCTTTTTTATTCAGCATTTCAAAGCTAGTTTAACATTTTTTATTCTGAAATATTTTTGCATCGATTATCACTTAAGAGACATTAATTGTCAACATGCGCATCTGGTGCATCGGTATTGGTGCCATTCGTGCTTTTATTAAGGACACATTGTCCACATTCGGTTTAGTTTTCTCTTTTCTTATTTCGAAGATATCCCTTAGAAAAGATAAAAACGGCCGAAATATAGACATCCTTTCCATATTTTCTTACTTTGTTTTCTAGTTTCAAAATGCATTATATATTGTTGTCTTTAAATATTCATTTCAATATTCTATCGACTTTCAGACATTTTTTTATTCACATGCCTTCTTCGGGTATAATCCTTACACAATACCTCATGTTTGAATAACCAGTTACAATACAATCTACATTTTGGCTCAGTATGAAATTTTATATCCCCCAAAGTAATATAAGCCTCGATGAGTATTGTTTACAAAATTTAACTGTCTTGCAGGTGTATAGTAAAAGCAAGCACTATTTTGCTATCTACTGATTCGTATTAAGATTAAATGTGTGAAGTTTTTTTTTTCTTAGAAATGATTTTTATCCTTTAAATTTCAGAATTTCAAGAGATGATGAGATTCCAGACCATATTCTTTTTGACGGCATTGACCACAATGACAGTATTCGGTAAAGAAAATATTCGATTTTATTTCTAGAAATTCATAAGCTGTGTTTAACAAAAGTGTTTTTCGATATGTAGATAAAATCCAAATGTCTTACCGCCAAAATGTTCTTAAACATAGATAAATTTCGTACATAATTATATGAAAGTATATTGCCAGCATCTGTATAGTTTTTTAAATTATAATGACAAAGATCAAAACGATTGGTTTAGTGTATTGACTGTTAAACATTTTATCATGGGGGGGGGGGTCTTTTATAGCTTGCTATACAGTATGGGATTTGTTCAGTGCTGAAACCGAAAGCTCTTGCAATTGTTAACAACCTCGTCCTTTAATTGGCAATATTGTCTTATTGGCAATGATACTAGATATCGTTATTTCTTGTTTTCTGAAGATAACAAGATTGTCTATTTAATTTTACAGCCTATTCACCAACAGACAAGCACGCATTAGATATACATGGAGTGAAAAAGGTTTTACAGGCCGAAAACACAGTTGGAAGAAACATACACGGGCTTCGTGGTGGCGGATCCCTTTCAGTACTGGATGTAATTGATGCAAATAGACGAACAGGATCAAGAGCTGTTGGAACATCCCATGGAATAGGCAATGAATTTATAACACGCGGGTCATCAGGAAGAAGAGGACTATCTGGGGGTTCTGTTGGAGACAGGACCTCTGTATCTGAAATCATTAGAGGTTCTTCAGTTGGTATGTCCCGTGCTTTATCTGACGATGACAGTATCAGTAAGTGCCATTATGGGTGTGGAGGTGACAAATTATGTCGTTCAGGCCATAAATGTGTACATGATGGTTGTAGCAGTTACTGCGTCGATATTTCTTCTGGAAGTAGAATTGGTGCATCTGGATTGTCGGACTCTATAAGAAGGGGAAACACAGTCTCAGAAATAATTAGAGGTTCATCATCTGGCTTGACCAGAGTTTCAAGTAATGATGGACATTTATCCTCTGGCAGCAGAATTGGTTCATCCGGTCTGGCTAGAAATTTGGACCTATCTAGCAATTCTCATTTGGAAACTATTGGTAAAAGCCGTGCAATATCTGGTCATACAGGTTCGGATATTCTTGACGCAATTACCTCTAGACGAAGTGGGCTAGATGTATTAGACACAGTTTCCTTAAGACGAAGTGGATCAGTTAGTTCTTCAGGTTCAGGAGTAGTTTCTCAGTCAATGGTAGGAGGAAAAACTGGTTGCAAAAAGGAATGTCATCGTGATGGAGATTGTCCAACAAACAAATACTGTGCAACTGTTAATTGTCACATGATTTGTCGAAGAAGGCCGTCCAATGGATACACACGATGAACAGAATATTGCTGAAATCTCAACTTGTTTTATAAAACAAACCATCTTTTTTTATAAAATTAAATGTTGAATACAGTTTGTGTTATTGAATAGGTTTTCCTTATCACACTTAATGGCTGAAAAACAAAGCTAAAACACGATTCCTTTATCAAAACAAAGCACTGGGAAACTATCGGGCAAATTGTTTTGTATTAGAAACGTTGTGTTCATGTAAACATAACATTAACAATTATTTCTGTCTATAATACTAAGCTAAAATATGTTATTAAAAGATGTTTAGGAATATATGTTTTTATGAAAATCGCCTGCTTCTTGATGAATTAAAAGGTATGAATGAAGGACATTATAAATGTTACTTTTTCTGATGTTATACTTATCATCCATTTAACATATGTTTAAATAATAAATAATAATTTAAAAAGACACATTATAAACGTCAATGAACTCATCATAGATACCAGGCATGGCCAGATGCTCGTTTCGTCTTCAAAGGACTGATCATTTACGCTCGAATCAAAAAGTGTAAAAGCCCAAATAAAGTACAAATGTGTGAAATCAGAAACCAATCAGCACAATAAAACATGAAAAAGTCTTAAAACGTTTTGTATGACGTTATGATTAAAAAAACGTCGATCAATTGCATCAGACACTTTTTGACACGTGTTTAATATTTCTGTGATTACATTTAGCTTGGCAAAAAGTTGTTTGATCTGACAAACATACAATTAAAATAAAACGATGAAAATTTATCAAGGCCTTAATTACAATTTATGATTACATAGGGTATTGTTATGAAACATGCAAATAATAAATATATTTTGTGAATTTATGGGGACGTTCCTAAAACTTAAAACATATCTGACCAAGCATTTAAGAGACAGCTAAAAAAGTATTAAAAAAAAATACCGAAATACAAGGTTAATTCAAAAAGGGGAAGTCCATAACAACTGACAAAGTAGAAAGTTATTTACTATCGGAACGAACGGAAAAAAACTGTTACATTCCTGACTTGGTAAGTTATTTTCCAAAGAAAGTGGTTAGTTAAACCTGGTTTTATACCTAGCTAAACCTCCCACTTGTATGACAGTTTATAGTTCCGCTATATTGACAAAAATTGGTGAGCATCACAAACAGACATGTTTCTGTCTTTATACATTTATACTCTATTTGACATTTTTTACTTGTTTTCTTTTGTGCTCTGCATGTACTGATTTTGTGCCATGGATGGATACCCCATATCCTTTGGTTTTTTTTCTATGATAGGTTAATGTGACAATAATTGGTATCAAGCAGCAAAAAATGTGTACACATACATCAACAATAACGCCAAAACCATTTTTTTGTAGTTGATTGTAAATTGTCAAAGACGCAGATATAAACGTTTTTGAAGTTGATTGTACATATCGTATATAGTATACACTCTCTCGATAAAGTACAAATTAAGTTAAATATAAATACAAGGGTAAGCAAAATGGAAACAATGTTGTAAAAACCTCTTGCGTCAGAATCACATATCGTCAAAAACCCGATAGCTGAATGCTTAAATACGGAGTCACGTCAAGAGTCATATGACCAAAAAGAGCATATTAACATGAAGACACAAAACGGGAAATAAGTAAATAAAATGATACGTAGCTTCAGCCCCTAAAAGCTATAATTCATACCATTTTTTTTTAATATTTGTAAAGTAGATACAGAGTATTCATCTGTTATGTCTTGGCACTTTCCTATGAACATTTTGAGAAAAAGGATGTGATGTTTTTTGACAAAACCCATGCCCATCAATTTGCCCAGCCAACGATGACATTTTGCAAAGTCCGAGTATCAACTGCAGGTTTCTTGAATATCGTACTAGTTGAGAAATGTATACTCCATACGCTGGCGAAGTTGGTATATCGCTGCTAAGATGAGAAAAATTTATAATTTCAAAATTAAAATCGTCTCGGTTGTCTGGCTTACAAAAATGTAATCCTGGTATCTATGATAAGTTTATTGTCATCGATTCTGGTATTGATATGACCGATATAATTCAATTTGAGGTACAGGTCTAGAAATGGGACGGAAAGCTGTATATGTTTTTTTTTTAATCTTTAGTTCAGGAGGACATATTTATGGGACTTAATCGGAAAAATTTTATTTGTTAATGGAAAGAACATCATCTATTAACCTGTATGTCAAACTAAATAATCTAGCTTCTTTGATCTTCTTGTTTTTTCCCAGTGTTTAAAGGAACTCTGATTCATATCAAAATCACATATGAGTTTCGCAGTTGGTTAAAATAGGAATGTAGACAACCTGCTGGACACATGTGTTCTCAATGAGAAACTCGTTCTTCGATGAAGCATGTTTTTTTTTCGGGATTATTTTTAACAAAATATGCCAAATTATATCTCTAAACAATTAATTTATAGCGTATAGTACAATTTTTATGGAGGAAAGCATGGTTGATTATTTCTTTAAGATGGGTTTTCAATTTAATTAATACCTTACATTACCCGTACACTTCATATGATATTCATCTAAAAGGAAATATACAAATTCTATCTTAAAAAGCTTGAAATGAGAATGATATTTTATAAAAAGAGGGACGAAAGATACCAGAGGGACAGTCAAACTTTGCTGCGCCTGTAGCAACTATGTGTTCTACGGAATATATAACGTTTACACAGATTTGTTGCTTAAACATTGAAAACACAACTCAATTTTTGGAACGCCAACACATATCCGTCTCTTCAATATACAGGCAAATACCGACATTTTGGGAGAACATCGATACTAAATTAGATTTATCATCGGGGATGTATTTAAATGAGCAATAGAAGGGTGCCACATGTAGATCAGGATCTGATTGACCTTCCGGGGCACCAGAGATCACCCCGAGTTTTCTGTAGGGTTCATGTTGTTCAGTCTTCAATTTTTGTCATGTGGTTGTTTTTGTACTGTTGTATGCCATTTCGTCGTCTTTCGTTTATGCCATGGCATTGTCAGATTGTTTTCGACTTATGAGTTTGAATGTACCTTTGGTATCTTTTGCCATTTTTTCAAAAAATGTTAGTATCCACGTCTGATTCACGACAGCTCTGACATCAGTGGTTTCACAATAACTTTGAAGCCTAGCTTTAATTGTTGATTTTAATAATTTAGAAAGAGGTTTCGTGGAGCACCTGGAAAACTCAGCAATGTTATTTGTAAGGACATTATTGTAGTTTAGGTATCCAATACAGTGAAGGAAGACCCCGTTCTTGTTCTTTGGTTGAAATTCCAAATCGTTTAATTCATGTGAAATGTCCGACATAGCCTTCCCAACAATTTTTGTCTCCATTTCTACGATTGCTTAAATCCATGTCAGGAGATGTTAAAGTATTGACGAATAAACAACAACATCTTTGGTAAGGTTGCTGTCTCTGTAGACACATTCCCCGTTTCGATTCACATTTCTTCATTGATTATATTTTTATATCTTTTGAAACTCAGCACACAAATTTAGGGAATTTGTACGAAAAAAAAGAGGATAACTAGTGACATCTCACCCTACTGGTCTAGGTACTTTTCCATTAATTGTGTAGCTATTCCTAATAGCATCAACCTTAACTCAAGATTTATTAATTAGAACAATTTAGTAGATTTCGTCAAAGATAAACTAGCAATCTGCTTTAAATGAATTCTAAGTAATGTTTATTTGAATATGCAGTCCCAAAAACTGGATGTGCCAACCAACTATTTCTTAAGAACTCTTAGTGCCCCAAAATAAGAAATTTCCCCAAATATATCAATATATTTAAAGAAGAATACAGATAAACAATACTGTTATTTCATAAGGAAGATCACTAACTTTTAACGATGCGCAATTTTTTGATTGATTTACGACACTTTATTTAGCCTAATTGCTTATCATAATTAGAAAATCAGAAACCTTATGACATCGTGCGACATCAGATATTCCCCCAATAACAATTTGTGGCGATGACATTGTCATGATTGTGTACAACGTAATAATAAAAGGAATTGAAAGATATATGCGAATGACAGAATTATAATTGAAACTGGCATTAATTTTTAAAAATTCTATATTGCCTTTTAGTCGTTTTCCGTATTTTTCCATGAAATTGTCAGTTTTTCTTCGACTTATGAGTTTGAATATCCCTTTGGTATCTTTTTCATCTCTTTCACAGATGGTCAAATCGATTATATTGGTTAAGAAAATAAAATCAAGGTGGCAAACAAAGACTAAAATATCCGTATAAACACTGAAAATTAAAATCTTTGAAACAAATTGATGATTTAAGTTTCACTATTGTCAACCTTCCATCCCAGAGTAGTGACACACCACCAACATAAGCCTATGGTGTTTACTGATATAATATATAGATTTATAAAAGAATCTGTTCTTATCATTGCGATTTTATCAACAAAGGAATATACCTGTTTTTTATAAAACCTATCAGATTTTGAGTATGTGTTGTACACCAACTATATTTTTATTTTTTGTATACAGACAATAGACAAAGTTTGTTGTTTCATGTCAGTTCTCAATGTAAAGAAAAGAAAGTGAAGTGATTGTCGGTATTAAATATGTTTTTTTACATCATTCTCGTAATAATAATGCTCATCAGTTGTAGCTGATAGAGAAGTTTTTCGTAAGTTCATTTCAATGTTAAACTTTTGTTTAAATCATTATTTTACAATGATTCTTGTGAAAAACGATTTAAACGTTTAATGCTCTTCAACTTCGTATTTGATCTGATCTTTCAGCTGTTTTGATTTCGAGCGCTACAGATGAGTGTTATTTAGAGGAAGCGCGCGTCTAGCGTACCAAATCATAAGCTGGTATCTTTGGAAAAAACAAATTTGTTATTAGAATTAAGACCTTGATAGAAATAAAAACCTGAGTGATAAAGTTAACCATAAAAGGAGATGTGAATGCACCTCGTTAAATAAAGGCAACAGTAGTATACAGCTGTTCAGTAGTCATAAATCGATTAAGTGAAAACAAATCCAGGTCACAAACCAAAACCGAGGGAAACACATCAACTATAAGAGGAAAACAACGGAACAAGAAAAACACCGAACTGCAA